TCTATACTGCATTAAAATTTCCAACTGATAGATGTGGTTTTTAAGACCATCCTGCATCTATATGCTACATGATAATATTTATTTAAAGTGTTTTTTTTTTAAGAATCCTAAGAGTGCCCTAAGAATTATACAAGTGCTATAGATGATTGCATGCCCAGGAAAGAGCAAGCATTGTGATCCTATGCTGAGCACCTCCAGAGGAGACAGTACCCTAAGCATTTCCAGTGCCCAGTGATAAAGGAGCAAACTAGACTCCATCCCAAGACTACCCCTGCTTCCTCTTTCTTCACCAACAGAGACATACATGGGAAGGCTAAGTCACTAGTCAGACTGAAGTCTGTTGGGAGCCACTAAAGCTCAAAATGGACCACATGTAAGAAGGCAAGATGAAGCCTCACTGCCTAAAGCAGTCAAGCTACCTCAGTGTTGAGTAAAACATCCTGCTTGGACATTGTTGGCTTTAGTGGCTAGGCAATTTTTTGTCTAGTAACTTTCCAAAGGTGTAAATAAATGCCTCTACTGTTGTTCTTCAAAGAAAAAAAAAAAAAAAAAAAAGTGCCCTAAGAGAAGAGACTGAGTTTTATATAACACGTGCCATGAGAAATGTCGTCCTTTCTATGATAGCTAGCTGGCTGAGATGAACAACTCCCAGACCTTTTTCCCCTAGTGGTGTAAACTTAGGTGTGTGAAGATGTGCCCTGTTTCCTTAGAGATGCCCTAGATGCCTAGCCCTGCAGGTTATAGCTTCCTAGCATAGCCGTCCAGGTGGGGTGTGGCCCAGCCCATTCCTGCTCCCTTTACCCTGCCCCACAGGCTGCCCTCTCTGGATTCTAGTGCCCAGGCCCAGACCCCTTTGTCTCACCCGTACCCCTTCTTATGGGATGTCAATGTCCAGGCACACTCCCCTATGATTCCTGGTGACTTACCTTCCCCAGGACTATTTGTCATTCTTTGCTGGTATTTTTGTTTTGTATGCTATGGAGAAATGATTGACCTTGAGCTAAATTACTGGTTTATCAGAATAGGACTTCTTAGCATTAATGAAACTTAATAGAATAATTCCTTTGTTAATATATAGTTAAATTACCAAGCTAATTGTATTATTCATTTAAAGGTACCTCAGCTGTTAAACTTATCATTTGATCTACCTAATTTGTCTTATTTTTCCCCTGTGCTTAGTATTTAGCTTATTTTTAAAAAATCTTTTATTTATTTGGTACAAGGTCCTGCTATGCAGCTTGGACTCATAGTGATCCTCCTGTCACAGCCTCCCCAGGGATGTGCCCATGTGCCACCACACCTGGTTTTGGCGGCTGGCTTGGCATCAGGGGCCAGCACAGCATGTGGTACCAGGGATCGAACCTAGATCCTTGCATTTGCCAGGCAGGTGCTTAGACCACTGAGCTATCTCCCCAGCCCCGTTTAGCTTATTTTTAAAAATCCCATTCACTGTTATTTTCTTTGAATTATTATGACAAATATAAAAATCCAGTCGGTAGCCAAACTAAAACACGCAGCATACTTTGGTTTCTTGCAGGCCAAAGTTGACACTGAATGCCTGTGACATGCTAACTACTTTAAATTTGTTCTTACTTTCACAACAGACATTTGAGGAGTTGCGATGTTAGTATGTGAGGCTTTCGGAAGTCATTTCCCTAGGAACTGAGTACACTTCTGAAAATTATCACTCTAAATCCAAGGCTGTCCCCTTGAGGAAACAAAATACCTCTCAGGCCTTGCAAAATTTGACTCTAGAAAGGGTTGACTCTAGAAAGACTGCTAGTGAACAGCTGTATTGAGAGGAAGAAAGTTTGTACAGCTACACTTAAATTATCAAAGCAAAAGCCCACGCTCTTCCACCAGATCATGCTGCTCCCCTGCTGAATTGCCGTGTGCCTTTAGAGAAAATAGTTGATAGCACTCCCTGACTACACAGTTGTGTCATTGTGAACTAAGGACACAATTCAGAGCTGTGTCATTAGTTTGCTGGTTTGTTTCTCTTAGACCTGAAACAGATTGATGACCAGAACCCTTGTGCACTTGTAGTCTATGTTCACATGAATTTTAAAAATAAAAGAGTACTAAGTTTTGTGGAGCACACTGTCAACCAGTGTGTTTGGAGCAGTGGTCAGGGTGCCTCATTCCAATGCCAAGAACCATACCCCTCTCTTGGTAAGTTAGTGTTTTCAGGCAGAACTCAGGCTGTTTAGTTAAGGTAACTTTGCAAATGCTTATTTATCATGTGCTTTCCACCAGTAATACTCATCTGGCACAATTCTGATTTGCGCAATTTGGAATTAAGAATGCTATATACTAATCCTGACCTGACTTCTGGGTTAGTGGCCTTTCAGGTTGGTCCTGTCTGTAATTTGGGAATGTGTGTTATTATGATACAAACTAATGTTATTATAGTTCTACAGACCAAACAAAACAGGGTCAAGGCAAAAAATACTAACTTTGCAACAATGAAAAGTGCCAGGGAAGAGACCAGTGTTGGGTGTTACTCTCATCCCCTTCACTGACAAGTATACTTAACATTGTTACTGTTATTTTAACAATTAGAGCATATTCCAAAGGTACAGTTTTTTGTTTATTTTTTGTAATTCAATACTGGAGGTTGAACCTAATGCCTGGAGGCTGAAAATAGTATCCTCAGCTTTTTTTTTTTTTTTTTTAAACATTGTACAAGTTTAGACTGACTCTTATTCTGTTATTATTTATGAGACTGATTTCTATGCTCTCAGTCACAAGAGGGAATAATGTAAAGTACTACAAATAAGAATTCCAGAATGTCCAAAACTTGTAGTACAAAAACAGCTCTTTGTTTTCATTTTGAGACAGGGTTTCACTGCATGGCCCAGGCTGGATTTGAATTTGTAGTCCACTTGCCTCAGCTTTCCAGAGTACTAGGATTATAGTCATGAACCACCATGCTCACTGAAGGACAGTTTTAAAAAGTATTTTATTAAAACCATCTTTGAGATTATGAAAAAATAAATGGCATGGTACTTATTCTTTTGGGGGACAGGAGTTACTGAGGATTTAAATCGAGGCATCACACATGCTTGACATACATTCTGCCACTGTTAGCCACACCCAAAGCCCTGGTATCCAACCTTTATTACAATAAAACGCTAAGATGCCAAATTGAAGAGAACAACTTTAAAAGGAAAAGACAGGGCCAAGGAGACAACTTGTTACTCTAAGCACCTTCCTGGCAAGCACAAGGACGCGGGTTCGATCTCCATTACATTCTGTGCCAGCCCAGTGCCAAGCCAGCCACTGAAATTGGGCATGGTAGTACATGCCTGTAATCCCAGTGCTAGGGAGGCTGAGACAGGAGATCACAAGTTCTAGCTGCATAGCAAGACCCTATACCAAATTAATAAAAGATTTTAAAAATTGAAAGGAAAAGACAGCCTTTTTACCTTTCTGGGAAAAGAACATCTCTTAAATATTCAAACACTTAAAACTTAAAAGGAAACAGAAAATGTATCCAGTAGAAACAGAAAAGTACTCTAAATGGAACATGCCAAAGAGATAGTTGGAGACCTCTGGTATCCACCATACTTCTTACTTAGAAATTCTCTCCCTAAATTTTCTCAAGTCTTATCGGGGTTGATTGGTTGGTTGGTTGGTTGGTTGGTTGGTTTTCCCAGTACTGGCAGTTGAACCCAGGGGTGCTCAACCACTGAGCTATAGCTCCAGTCCTTTTTGCTTTTCTTTTTTTCACTTTGAGACAAGTTTCTGCGTTGTCTAAGTAGGATGCGAATTAATAGTTCCCCTGCCTCAATCTTCCTCAGAGTTGGGATTACTGGTATACATCGCCGTACCCAGCTTGAAAGATTTTTATACATTATTTTGTTTTAGTAAAGTCAGTTTTTTCTTTATTAGGTGACAACTGTAATTTCTATTTTAATAAAATAAGAACTGAGACAGTATATTCATTCTCCTAGCTTGCAGAGTGATATAGGAAGTCTGTAGGGGAGCTAAAGTAGATGATTAAACTAATACAACTTAAGGTATCTGTGACCCAACATTGCAAAGATAAGCAGCCTATTCTATTATGAAGAGGTTACATATATGCAAAGCACTGCTTTACTATAAAAAAAAAAGCTATCCAACCGTTAGAGTATGCTTTTTCTATGTGAGACACCTTAAAAGTGCTTTAAATATCTATAATTCCTTTTTTTGGGGGGGGCAGGACTGGGGATTGAACTTTCAGTACCTTATGCATACTGGGCAAGCACTGTATCAATGAGGTACATCCCCAGCCCCCACTTTTTTTTTAATCTCAAAAACTAAAAGCATTCTTCATGTATATGCCTGGATATTTTTGATGATACAACATGGCAAGAATTTACAGATGTTTATAGTCTCTATCCTATTTAAACATATATTTATTTCCTGTAGAAATGATAATATGCTTAATTATATAGCCTTAGTCAGATCCTCCTAGTTCTACACCTGGCTTTATTAAATTTTAAGTGATTTATTTTGTATTTTTGTATATCTTTAAAGCAATATATTTTGCATAAGGGAGGGGCAGTAGGGAGGAGTTGAAAATATTTAGTTTTTCTTGTTATTTTGTCATAATATTTTTTTCTGGGTCTAAGAAATATTGCATTTATCACCTTTACTAAAGTGATCAAAATAAATGTCCAATGACCTTAATGTTGTGTATGCTTAGAATACAAAGAACCAAATTTGGTTTCAAAAGAAAAAGAGAACTCTGTGTTACTTTTCATGGGACATGTATCCTTGTTTCTTTTTATTGGAAATTTTGAAACAATCTTAGCTGTGAAACAGTAACCCTAGTTGGCCTCTGCTTAGTGGGTGTATTTGCAATCCTTTGATTGTGCTAACCTTTGTTAAACAGAAGGAGCCCTAGGCACCTCCTTTTCAGTTATCCTTTTGGAAATCATATTTTTAACAGCACTTTTCCTTTTTGGCTTGCATGACATTTTCTTTCTTTTCCTTTCCTTTTGCCGTTTGCAAAGACTCTTGGGAGGATTTGACAGATTTGGTGGAGCAAATGCGCGATGATGCAGAAGGTGCGTGCCACACCAACATCCTTCAGCTTTGTTTGCTTTTTCTTTTCTTTTTAATTTTGTAACCACCCTTTATTTTCTGTAAGAAGGTGTATCAGATTTAGGTTTTATTTCCCATGGCAGAAACTGGGAATCTTTATGCTTATGGTTCCAAGTAAAATACGTGCAAATATATTTACATTTTATATTTAGGATATCTGTTAAATAACATATTTAAAAGACAGAACACATTGAGTTTTCCTATGGCTTATTTTTCATTTGTTTGTTGGGAAAGTGTGAGTATATGTGGAGAGGATAGATATGCACAGTTTTGAAGCACTCAGAAACAGATCCTAAGGGGCCAGGGAGATGGCTCAGTAGAATAAACGCTTCCCTGCCAGCACAAGGGTCTGAGTTCAATCCCCATTTCCGCCAAAAAACCCCAGCTCCTAGGAATCTAAAGTATTTGGTATGGAATGTTGTTCTGATGTTTAGATTTGCATAGCATTAAACTCCTGCAGCTAGGAAGACAGGTGTGCACCACCAACCACAGCAAACCAGTAGTTATTTCTTCTGCAGTCATGGCCGGTAACCTTAGGCAGCTCAGAGGGATTTGCACAGTTTATACTAAAAACACAAAAATTGAAATTCTAGTCTTATCTTCCTGTGACATTTTGCTTTCCTGTCATCACTGAGGCACTGTGGGGTCTGCAAGCTTTGGTGCACTACCTGCACATACATGTCTACTGCTCTGCCCAGGCAGCACTTGCCTGACCCCCAGCAATCTTCCTCTTCACTCTACTCCCAATTGTATATGCCTCCTCACAAGTTCCTCCCACACCTGCATCGCCTGCCCAGTGACAGGAGTGCCACAAAGCACTGTACCAGCTTCGTCCTCTGCTTTTCCATCTATGCAGCTACCTGTCTCCTCAAATTCTGTGTGTATATCCCTCTAGTCAGAGTGTAAACCCTGTGAGAGCAGAGCTTGTCTTGAACTTGTTGGCTCTCTCTTCAGACCTTGCTAGTACATTAGCTGTTGTTATCTTTATAATCTCCCAGGTAGCATCAGGCTGAAGGCTTTAATTCCTTCGATACCGTAGATACTGAGGAAAAATGCTACATAAAATATATGTCCTTCCTGTAGAAGAAGAAGAAGAAGAAG